AGCATACCATCCTGGAGTCTCTTTTATGTCCACAGAAGTGCTTACCTGGACCCCTTACTATAGAGTCCCTTATAATTACTGCTGCTGTGCTCTTTGTCCTTCCCTTCTTAAGAACAGAGCCAGCCGTGATGTCACTTGACAACAGCCCCTCCTCAAACCACCTTCTGGAAGCAGTGACTGCACTGATGCAAATCGTCACCACTCAGCTGCCCTCTTCCAGGTCAGGTGTTGTAAAACAGAGAGACCTAGGGGTTCAGGAAGATAATTCTTTGAAGTTTGCGTCACACATAGACAGGGTGGTCAAAAAGGCATTTAGCACGCTTGCCTTCATTGCTCAGTCCTTTGAATATAGGAGTTGAGAAGTCAAGTTGAGGTTATACAGGCCATTGGTGAGACCTCTTCTGGAATACTGTGTCCAATTCTGGTCATGCAGTTAAAGGAAGGGTATTATTAAGCTGGAGAGGGTTCAGAAGAGATTTTACCAGTATGTCGCCGGTTTGAGTCAAAGAAAGGCTGGATAGGCTGGGACTTTTTTCACTAGAGCGTGGGAGGTTGAGAGGTGACCTTACAGAATTTGATAAAATAACGAGGGGTATAGATAGAGTTAATGGTGGTTGTCTTTTCCCTAGCTCGGGAGATTTCAAGACTGGGGGACAAATTTTTATGGTGAGAAGAGAGAGATTTAAAAAAGACATGAGGGGCAAATTTTTTACACAGAGGTGGAACGAACTTTCTGAGGAAGTGGTGGATATGGGTACAATTACAATGTTTAAAAGACATTTGGATAAGTACATGAATAGCAAAGTTTTGGAGGGATATGGGCCAGGACCAGGCAGGTCGATCTAGTTTAGTTTGTGATGCCGTTCGGTATGGACTGGTTGGACCGTGCTGTATGACTTTGATTCTGTGTCCTTCTGGGTGAGCACTGATGCAAAGTACGCATTTAGGATTTTGTCCACATCCTCTGCCTCCAAGCACAAGTTCCCTCCTTTATCCTTGAGTTGTCATACCTTCTCCCTAGTTATCCTCTTGCTTTTAGTCTGTGTATGTACACTTCCTCAAAAAATTCAATCAAGTTTATGAGACAAGGCCTTCCCTGCCAACGCCATTCTGCGTATCGCTAATAAGTCCATATTTTTTCCAAATATGAGTAAATCCTACCCCTAATAATTCACTCCAGTAATTTCTCTACCACTGATATAAGGCTCATTGGCCTGTAATTTTCCGGATTACCCCTATTGCACTTCTTCAACAAAGGAACAATGTTGGCTATTCTCCAATCCTCTGGGACCTCTAATGTGACTAAAGAGGATTTTGTACAAGGCCCCAGCAATTTCCTGACCTGCTTCCCTCAGCATTTTGGAAAGATCCCATCAGGTCCTGGAGTCTTGTATTCCATTATGCTTTTCGAATAAAAATCCAACACCACCTTTTTTTTATATTGACATGCTCTAGAATATCAGCATACCACTCCCGAGACTCACCATCCATCGTGTTCTTCTCTTTTGCGAATAATGATGCAAAGTATTCGTTAAGGACCTTGCCCATATATAAATTCCTTCCTTCGTTCATAAGTGGACCTACATTTTCTCCAACTACCCCCTTGCTCCTTATATATGTGTGAAATGCCTTAGGATTTTTCTTAATTTTGTTTGCCAAAGACATTTCACCCCTTTTGCTATTTGAGTTCTTTCCTGCTATCTTTGTATTCTTCAAAGTTTCTATCTGTCTTTAGTTTCCTAAACCTTACATATACCTCCTTTTTCTTTTGACTAAACTCTCAATTTCTCTTGTCATCCAAGATTCCCGAATATTGTCAGCCTTATCCTTCATTTTCATAGGAACATGCTGGTCCTGAATTCTATTTGACTGGCCTTTAAAAGATTCCCACATGCCAGACATGGATTTTACCTCAAACAGCTGTCTCCAGTCTGTGTTCCTACCTAGTACTGTAGTAGTTAGCCTTCCCCAAATTTATCACTTTCGAGGATTACTCTTGTCAGTAATCTTCAGAAAAAAGGGCACACCTAACAAATACCCCCCCATTCAAGCCTTTGGCATCAAGCGAGTCCCAATCAATACAGGAAAGTTAAAATCACCGACCACAATAACCCTTTTTTTTACATTTTTCCATAATCTGACTACATATCTGTTCTTCTATCACCTACTGGCTGTTGGGAGGCCTGTAATACAATTCCATCAAAATGATTGAACTTTTCTAATTCTTGAGTTCTAATTCTTGAATTCTTGAGAACCCGTAGTTCCTTGCTGGATGAGCCGTCCAGAGTGTCATCTCTCTGTACAGCTGTGATAGTCTCCCTTTATTAGTAACACAACTCCCCCACCTCTTTTATATTGATCTCCATTTTTCCTGAAACATTTAAATCCTGGAATATTAAGCAGCCAGTCTTGTCCATCTCTCAACCAATTCTCAGTAACATCTGCAACATCATATTTGTATGTACTAATCCAAGCTCTAAATTCAGCTGCCTTACCGGTCATACATATTGCATTAAAACAAATACACTTCAGACTGCCAGTCCTGCCATGTTCAGCAACCTCTCCCTGTCTGTTCTTCCTTTTAGCCTTACTGGTCTTAGTCTCTGACTTCTTAGTCGTTTTACGTGCTGATTTTATACTCTGGTTCCCACTCCCCCACCACACTAGTCTCAACCCTCCACGCTACTGAACCTCCTGCCAGGATATTGGTTCCCCTCCACTTTAGGTTAATGCGTTCTTCTTGTACAGGTCCCACCTGCCCCAGAAGACCTTCCAATAATTGATATTTCTGAAACCCTCCCTGCTACACCAGGGAGTAATTACTTTGCACCAGCTCCGTCTGACGAAACAATGAATACCCTGACTACCATTTTCTAATGTTTGCTGGATGCATGCGTGATCCTGGAGGATTGCTAACATTGTAACATTTTTTAAAAATGGAGCCTGGGATAGACCAAATAATTATATTATGGTTGGCCTAACATAGGAGAATTGTTGGAATCAATTCCGAAAGACTGTTTTCCTGAGAGAAGCATGAGAATCGTCAGCATAGATTTGTTGAAGGAAGATTGTGTCTCATTAATGTGATTGAGTTTCAGGGAGCAGCAAGGAAGATTAAAGGCAGTGCAGTCAATACGGTCTTACATTGACTTTAGCGAGGTGTGCGTGGCAGACTGGTTGGAAATACTTATTTGTTTCAGTCAAGGACCATGTTGAATAAGGCCATAGAAGTTTTTGATTTTCCCTTTAATGTTAAAACCACTAAACATAGGAGCAGAAGTAGGCCATTCATCTAATTCAATCTCCTCTGCTTTTCCACGAGATCATGGTCTATCTGATAATCCCCAACTTCATTTTTTAAACTCAGATTACTGTCTAAAAAAATCGGTACAATAGACTTTCAATACTGAACAATCCGAGTGAATAAAAGAAAAATACTGCAGATGCTGGAGTCATAGAGCTGGACAGAATGGAAACAGACCCTTTAGTCCAACTCGTCCATGCTGCCCGGATATCCTAAATTAATCTAGTCTCATTTGCCAGTGTTTGGCCCATATTCCTCTAAACCCTTCCTGTTCACATACCCATCCAGATGCCTTTTAAATGTAATTGTACCAGCCTCCACCACCACCTCTGGCAGCTCATTTCATACACGCACCACTCTCTGTGTGAAAAACTTGCTCCTTAGGTCCCTTTTAAATAGTTCCCATCTCACCTTAAACCTATGCCCTCTGGTTTTTGACTCCCCCCACCCTGGGAAAAGACCTTGTCTATTCGCCCTTTCCAGCCTGTCATGATTTTATTAACCTCTATAACATCACCTCTCAGCCTCCGACACTCCAGAGAAAATAGTCCCAGTCTAGAACATAGAACATAGAATAGTCTATTCAGTCTCTCCGTATACCTCAAACCCTCCAACCTTGGCAACATCCTTGTAAATCTTTTCTGAATCCTTTCAAGTTTCACAACATCCTTCCTTTAGCAGGGAGACCAGAATTGAACGCAGTATCCAAAAGAGGTCTAACCAATGTCCTGTACAGCCATGACATGATCTCCCAACTCTTAAACTCAATGCACTGACCAATAAAGGCAACATACCAAACACTTTCTTCACTAACCTGTCTACGTGGGACTCCACCTTCAAGGAACTATGAACCTACACACCATTGTCTCTTTGTTCAGCAACACTCCCCAGGACGTTACTATTAAGTATATAAGTCCTGCCCTGATTTGCCTTCCCAAAATGCAGCACCTCACATTTATCTAAATTAAACTCCATCTGCCACTCCTTCGCCCATTGGCCTATCTGCTCAAGGTCCTGTTATACGCTGAGGTAACCTTCTTTGCTGTCCACTACACCACCAATTTTGGTGTCATCTGCAAACTTACTAACCATACCTTTGATGTTCACATCCAAATCATTCATATAAATAACGAAAAGCAGTGGTCCCAGCTCCGATTCTTGTCGCTCCCTTAACCAAGTCTCTGTAATAGCAACAACATCATCGTTCTAAGTACTAATCCAAGCTCTAAGTTCATCTGTTACACTTCTTGCATTGAAACAGATGCACTGAAGAAGTTCTGAAAAAGAGTCTTTAGAATCAAAACATTAGCACTCGTTCACTTTCCTCAGATGTTGCCAGAACTGCTGAGTGTTTCTAGTATTTTTGTATTTGTATCTGGAAAAATAGTAGCTTTTGAAACCAGAGGACATAGCGTTGATGTCAGATAACAAGGTGTAGAACTGGATGAACACAGCAGGCCAAGTAGCATCAGAGGAGCAGGAAAGCTGACCTTGCGGGTCTGGCCCCTTCTTCAGAAATGTCATTCTATTTTGAAATGTTAAATTAAAATTATCATTTTCAATCAACTTCGTAGGTTGTGCCAAACAATAGCATTCTTTTTAGGATAAAAGACGTATCATTGGATTTGGTTTCCAACCAACGTTATAAACAGCCTGTTGTACTTTGGTGAATTTGCATTGTCTCTTTTTTCATTAGATATTCCAATTGAAGCTCCTGTTGCTAATGGCAGTGCCACTTCGAGTACAAGCTTGAATGATGATCTTGATATATTTGGTCCTATGGTTTCCAATCCTGTTCCAAAATCGGATTTGCAGCTGCATCAGGTAAAATTTGAGCATTCTCGTGTCAGTTTGCTATGTTTCCCCAATGTTTTGGGGCGGGCAGCAACACTGTAGAGGGAGCCTCTGGCTGGTTTGTTTTTGTTCACTTGTCTAAATCACAAACTCAGGATTGTGCTAACTATTGACCTTGTCTTATCTTGAAATATTTTGGATTTTGTTTAGGTGTAATACCTGTGCAGAGCAGATTTAAAGGAGATTTATTTTTAGTGTAATGCGTGAGATGATTTGCTTTTTGCTGTAAAAGCTGAATAGCTAATTTATAATAATTGGATTGGGAAGTTTGAATAAGGAGACGTTAAGCTTTCTCTCCTGGAGATTGTTAGTGTGATTATAAGCAATGGTGTGGGCAAATCTGAAATGTTATTACTTCTTACATTTGTCTTGCTTAAATAAAATTATAAAAAAGTGCATTTTATGTTTTCTCAAAAAAGTAGCCACAAGGTAGATTTTAGACCAAAATCTTCTCCACAGCTGCTTTCAGTCAGGAGAGGATATATCCTATTTCACCATCCCTGTGCATTGGGAGTAGCTGGCTTCAGCTGTTTGCTTTTCTTTGTTCATGGTTTGCAACTTGAATTTAAGGATGTTGAAATTGTGGTGTGGTGGCCAGTGGAGTCTTGGAATGATTTGAGTGAGTCCGTAGGTAACGGAATTGTGGTTGAGGATTTTAGCACTGGATGTGCTGAGGGAAAGAATTTTGGGTCACATGGCCAGCTTAGGGTCAAATAGGATGCCTTGGCTTGTTGCAGCCTAGTTCGCCTTGAGGCTTTGATCAGGGAGATTAGGCTTTGTGGGAGGCTCGGATAATGGCTTTGGCTTTCCCAATGTTGAATTGGAGGAAGATTAGCTCAGTTGGTGCTGGTTATCAAATAAGCAGAGGGATTGCAAGGATCAAAAAGTGGTTTAGAATTGGCAGTCATCAGTGAACATATGGCACCTGATGTTTTTTAGACAATTTCATCAAGGTGCAGCATGTGAATGAGGAATGGAATTGGATCAAAGATATGTCCTTAGACTCCAGAGTTATTGATGTGACAGCAGATTAGAAGTCATTGCCAGATATGATCTGCCTACCACTGGACAGACAAAGAGTGGAACAAGATGACCAGTTCATCCAGATGAGATGAATTTGAGAACAATAGTATGGTGAAGATATGACTGTGGGAAAGGTAGACGTGGATTTAAGAGACAATATTTCAAGGGATTTGGAGAGGTAATAGTGGTTGGTGATGGGGTAGTTGGTGAGGACAAAACTGTCCACGATGAGTTCTTTGCAAAGATGAGTGGCAGATTTGAGTGGGAGAGATGACAGCAGTTGAGTGAATTACAACATAATCTAGCATGGAGGCCAGGAAGGAAGCCAGTTGGTTGGCAATTTGGTCAATTAAAAGTTACCTACTTCCAAATTGCCAAACAAGAATATTGGTGAATGTTTCTCAAATTAAAGAATAAAGTCTTCTGTACAATATTTTAGATTTTCATCAGGGCCTATAGACCATAGAACAGTACAGCATTTGCACAAACCCTTCAGCCCACCATGTTGAGCCGAAAATGACACCAAGGCAAACTCATCCCTTCTGCCTGCCTGTGGTCCATATCCCTCCATTTCTTGCTTATTCATATGCTTATCTAAAACCCCTTAAACACCCCTATCATATCTGCCTTCACTGCCCCTGGTGGTGTGTTCCAGGTACCTACCACTTCCTTGAAAGTGGAGTCGCGAGTAGATAGGATAGTGAAGAAGGCATTTGGTATACTTGCCTTTATTCGGCAGTGCTTTGAATATAGGAGTTGGGAGGTCATGTTGCGACTGTACAGGACATTGGTTAGGCACTGCTGTAGGAAGAATGTTGTGAAACTCGACAGGGTTCAGAAAAGATTTACAAGGGTGTTGCCAGGATTGGAGGGTTTAAACTATAGGGAGAGACTGATAGGCTGGAACTATTTTCCCTGGAGTATTAAAGGCTGAGAGGTGACTGTATAGAGGTTTATAAAACCATGAGGGGCACGGATAGGGTAAATAGACAAGGTCTTTTTCCTGGGGTGGAAGAGTCGTAAACTAGAGGACATGGTTTTGAGATGAGAGGAGAAAGATTTAAAAGGGACCTAAGAGGCAACTTTTTCATTGCAAAGAGTGGTGTGTGTATGGAATGAGCTGCCAGAGGAAGTGGTGGAAGCTGGTACAATTACATTTAAAAGGCATCTGGATGGGTATATTAAAAGGAAGGGTTTAGAGGAATGTGGGCCAAATGCTGGCCAATGGGACTAGATTTATCTGGGATATCTGGTCAGCATGAATGAGTTGGACCGAAGGGTCTGTTTCCATCCTGTACAGCTCTATGACTCTATAACTGTGTTTAAAAACAAAGCTTGTCCCCCACATCTCCTTTGAACTTTCCCCCTTTTACCTTAAATGCATGTCTTCTAGTATTAGACATTACAACTCTGGGGGAAATAGATTCTTAACGTCAATGCTATCTATGCCTTTCATAATTTTATAAATTTCTGTTGGGTCTCCCCTGAGCCTCTGTAACTCCAGATAAAACAACCCTGGTTTGGCCAGCTTGTCCTTATAGCTCGTAGCCTCTCATCCAGGTAGCATCCTGGTAAAGCTCTTCTCTATCATCTGCAAAGCCTTCACATCCTTCCAGTCATGTGGTAACCAGAATTGAACGCAGCCTAACCAAAGTTTTATAAAGGTGCAACATCACTTCCTGACACTTGTATTCAATGTCCCGACCAATAAAGGCAAGCATACCGTACGCCTTCTTTACCATCCTCTCTACCTGTGTGACTACTTTTAGGGAACTATTGAGTAGGACCCCAGGATCCCTCTGTACATCAGTGCTGTTAATGGTCCTGCCATTAACTGTATACTTGCCCTTAACATTTGATCTCCCAAAGTGCAGACCCTCACACTTACCCGGATTAAACACCATCTGCCATTTTTCTGGCCACGTGTACAAGTGATCTATATCCCACTATATTATTTGACAATCATATATATTATCCCTAACTCCCCCGATCTTTGTGTCATCTGCAAACGTACCAACTCACCCATCTATGTGATATATACAAATGACTTGGATGAAAACAATCAGCAGAGGTCCCAGTACAGATCCCTGCAGAACACCACTAGTCATGGACTGCCAGCCTGAAAACCATCCTTTAACTGCTCGCCTTTGCCTTCTATGGACAAGCCAGTTCTGAATCAAAGCGACCAAGTCACCGTGGAACCCATGCACCTTCATCTTCTAGATGAGCCTAGCATGAGGGTCCTTGTTGAAAGCCTTACTAAAATCCATTTAGACAACATCTATTGCTCTACCCTCATCGATCACCTTTGTCATCTCCTCTTTAAAAAAACCAATCAAGTTTGTAAAACAAGACCTAGGGCAATGGTGACTGTTCCTAATTAGGCCATGATTTTCCAAGTGCATGTAAGTCCAAACCCTAAGAACCCTCTCCCAACCACCAATGTGAGACTCACCAGTCTATAATTTGCTGGATTATCCCTATTTCCCTTCTTGAACTGAAGCACAACATTAGCTGTTCACCAGTCTCATTGACCTCTCCATTGGTTAGAGAGGATACAAAGATGTTGGTCAAGGCCCCAGCAGTCTCCTTTCTTGCCTCTGTCAATAATTTGGAGAGGGTCCCATTGGACCCTGGGGACTTATTAACTTTAATGCTCTTCAAGAGACCTAACACCACATCTATCTTGACCTCAACCTGCCCTAGCATATTAGAGTGCCCCACGTTCATCTCACTCTCCTCCATGTCCTCTTCCTTGGTGAATACTGATGCACAGTATTCATTTGAGCTCTCGCCCATATTCTCCGTCTCCAATCACAAGTTCCCTCCTTTATCCTTGTGTGGTCATACTGTCTCCCGAGTTATCATCTTGCTTTTAATGTATGTGTAAAATGCCTTGGGATTCTCTTTAACGCCACTCACCAAGCATATTTCATGGCCCCTCCTTGCTGTCCTAATTTCCTGCTTGAGTTCTTTCCTACTTTCTTTGTATTCCTCATGGCCCCTGTCCAAATTTAGCTTTCTAAACCTATGTATGCCATGGTTTATATTACTTCAAAAGTGCAGTAACATGCCATTTTGCATGTTGTACTGATGACTATAGAATTTGCTCATCATGACCATGGCATATAATCTGTGTGCAAATATTGACAATGAACAACATTTAGGAACTGGGCTTAATCCACAAGGCGGTCTAACTCTGCAGTCTTATTTAGGATTGGTCACTTATTGATGCTTTTAAACAAACTATTCGCAAGAACATGAGCCAAAGGCTTCATTGGATTCAATTGAAATCTTAAATCTCTTTGGAAGATCTGTCAGAACAGCTCACAGCCCTGGACTTTGGTATTCTTCTATTGTGTGGAGGATGCCTGATGCTTCCTTCGCACAGAGATGATCTCACCAGCCATCCTGTAGCAATGTTAGGGACTAGAGCTTGATTCAAGTTAGCTTCAAGTTTAACATCATTATATGTTTATGTGTAACTATAAATTATTTGAAGAATAAATTTCTTATTTGAAGAAGAGGCCAGAAAATATTATCAGTTCAATCCTGCTGATTGTTTTGTCTTCTCAGCTTAATGTTTTTGACATGGAGCTGAGGTCACAAACATCACTGTGAAGGTGAACTTTCAGAATTCTCTTCAGATTTTATACCAGGGTTAGAAAAACATTGAAGGATTTAATTTTATTCATTGATCTGCAGCTCGAACCTGAACTTATTTTGAACATCTTGTCTCAGATAGGGATTGTTAAGACATAAAGTTCTATGTTCATGTGTCATGTTGGTGTTCTGCTTTGTGCTGTTTTACTGTGATGCTTGCTTGCCTGGGCACCATTGCTTTGCAGAACTATAACTCAAGCTCTCATTTAAACTCTTAGAACCTTTTACAAAAATCTGGGAAGAGGAGGTACTAACTCCTAACTTCTGCAATGCCATATTTACTT